GGTGTCATGGGAAGTGTTCAAGAGCTGCCAGCTGCTAAGGGCCCGGCTGCCAGGGGATGTATGTGTAAGTGTGTCCACTGGCACCTCCGCCTGCTGTGCACCCGCCCCACCCACTGCCAGGAGGGAACAGTCACGGGTCAGCTCACATCGTCATGGCCGGCATTTCAATGTCATGTCCCACACGGCTGCTTTGTGAGGATGGGGGGGAGGAGCGGGGTGACAGCAGGCCATGGGGTATTTATGTGCACAGCTCCGAGGTTTGAGGAAAGGGACCCACTGGTTCTTGCAGATGTTAAAAGGTGGTCACTGGGAGTAGGGGAGGAAAGGGTGTAGATGAGCTACAGCAGCAAACACCCCCAGGAGAAGGGAACTGTGTGTACAAACGCAGGACATTAGGGATCAGGCTGAGACCTGTGGGGTCCTGCAAGAAACCTAGCTTGCCTAAAGATGTGATTCATGCCGGGGACCACCGGACGGCCTGAAAGCTCTCGGGGAGATGCCTGCAGGCCACTGGTCTGAGTTCGGCACATGTTCAGCTTTGCAAATGAATTCTGAAATGGTCAGGTTATCCAGGGGAAGAAACAGCAAAAGGCTTAGAAAACCCACTGCCCCCTCATTAAAGAGTGGCCCTTATTCACTCATCAGAGCAAAGTACAAAAAGGAATCAGCCCCTTTTCCCACCAGACCACTGGCCCCTGGCACCCCACCCCCCAACCACAGCTGTTTTCTGATATACGCAGAAAAGTGTTGGTGAGGCCGTTTTTGAAAAATTTATTTTATACCCTTAGAAGCTAAGAACTCTGCCACTCAAAGAACCAAATTTAGAATTAAGATTGTTCCCTAGTTTATCTACTTCCTTTTGAAATTTTATAAACAAGATTTTGTACACAAGAGGTAGCAGAGGAAAATTCCAGTCTGCTTGTTCCAAGCTCAAAAGGTAACTGCACACACCTCGATGTTAGCAGGGAGGGTGGAGCGAGACGGGGGAGTCTGGTGACGCTTCCTTTAGGCCCCGTAAGTGTTCGAGCCGTCAGGGCTCCACAAGCCATGGGCTGGATGCCCGGTGAGAGGCTCACTTGTTTTCTTTCCCAGGATGCCAGGAAGGGGGAGGCTCGGCTGTCCCAGGATGGGCCTCACAAAGGGAGCTTCTTGAGAACACACAGCACTGAGTTAGTTGTGCAACTCCTACTCGATTTGCAGACCATTTTGAAAGATTTATAAAAACATCTTCATCCAAAAAAATTGGCAGTAAAAATGACACCTCTTCCAAGGTAAGCCTGTTGTAACTGTCACTTTGTTGTACTACATTAAAAAAAAGTCCTCAGCAGGTTTGCAGACTGCAGCCATTGGAAATCAAGTGGTTTCTGGCAAAGTGAAACTGACATTCGTTGTAGCAACAACGTGAGCAAAATCAACCAGGGTGGCTAATGACAGCGACAGGTGGTCCTGATCCTGATGAGCGTGACCGTGAGGACAGCAGGTGCTGGGGGCTGTGGAAGGCGTTGTTTCCATAGGAAATAAGGGACAGAAGTGGCAATTTCACTCCTGACTTTGGGCTCCTGAGAGTGCAGTTGCCAGCGTGACATCCTCACACATTGTCATGGCCGGCATTTCAACGTCATGTCCCACAGGGTTGCTTTGTGAGGATGGCGGGGGTGGGGGTGGCGATAGTAGGCCATGGGGTATTTATGTACTCAAAATCAGTTTTAAAACATCACATGTGAAATTGCAAGAGCATCAGAACCATATGCAATTTGCCAGCTGCCTCTGACCATTTCCCTGGGCGCAGCTCTGCTCTTAGGCGTTGGCCCTGTACCTACTCGGCCTGCGTAAGTCACACAATTACACACTGCCGCCTGGCTGCACCGTAACCTTAACCTCCAGCAGTGAGGTGACAGGGTTTGCAGCACACAGCTGGGAACAGCTGTCTGTCCTGTCGCGTGTCCGCTGCATCTGACTCTGCAGGTCTACGCCGGGGCCACTTGGCACTTCCTAAGGCCCCCCTAGTTCTGTGTGCGGTGATAGAAAATACGGCAGAGCACGCAACTACAGGCAAAACAGGCTTGAAAGTGTGTGTAGTGACTCAAAACCCAAAACATACAAAATACATGAAGTACATTGGCACACCCCTCCCCTCTGGAAAAAGGGGGAGCTGACATCTACCCTGAAGTGGCTGAATGATGCTATTCTTGAGAAATACAGCTAAACGCATGGTTGTTCAGTTGCCTTCTAATTATTTCTGGGACAATAAATCTTGTTCCTATCTTTTCAGTGTTAATGAGTCATGTGGAGGAGAAACAAAGTCTCAAATCCCTGCTCTGCATTAAAATGTCTAGAAACTCACAAAGCAGTGTCTCTAACTCATATACAACTTCATACACAGCCAGTACCCAAGGTTTCATTACTTATGTTTTCAGCAAAAGCAAATGATTGCAGATCACGTGATGTAAGACTACAGTTTATTCAATATGTCTCCAAGCATTAAAAAGATGATTTTATGAAGTCAAACTCAATAAAATTGTATCTTAAAGTGCTTTTTATTTTGCTGTTTTTAAAATTTGTTTTGGGAACAACTCATAACTTCTTTAGTGATTGATGTCAAAGAACACATCCTGTACTTCTGGAGAATGCAGCATTTTTTTTTTTAATTGCTCTTTCAATCTCAATTATATCAGAAAAATACCTTAAAGAGCTTAATAAATTTCCCAATTTTTGATCCTGGTAACATTGCATCAAGATCCAAGTTTATGCCCAGGGTGCTTATCCAGACCCATCTGAAATTCTATACAAATGGGGAGACATATTAAATACAAAGGTCTGTGTAAACTGAATTTTTTAACTACTACTTTACAGTGAAAAGGAATTTTTATCACATATCTTTACATCATTTTAAATTGGATATTCCTATTCAATGTTACCACAAGATTAAAAATTTGCCCCCACATATCTAAAAGGCAGCTTTCTTTTTTCTTTTTTTTTTTTAATATAAAAACCAAAGGAATTTCTTTTGTAGCATCATAGAGAAAGCAGCAGCTTTATCCTCACTCACTCTTGTATCTTCACATAACAAAACAGTCTGCTACCAGACTGACTAAAATCTCCACAAAAATGTCAATCCACATATGGACTGTGCCCAGGACAGCGGACCCACAGACCGGAGTTCTCCTACTGCCAGACAGCTCCCAGGCCTTCCCTAGGGGCCAAGCAAAGAGTGCTTTCCTTAAAAACGTGTGCTCCTCCCGGCACAGCGGGCTCTCCCAGTCCAGCCTCCAGGCTCTTCTAAAGGGTTCGGGGATGAGAATCTGATTTCAAAAAGGTGCTGAGCATCCAGTAACTGTGACGTGTCTCCCCATCGTGTGCTGGGCACGCTCCCTAGGGATCGACATCGTCCAGGTCACTTCTTAACTCACCAATCATCATGGGCGACTCAGAACCCTTTGGGAAAGGAAAGGCAGTTAAATACGTACACTGTTAAGTTAGAGAAAAAAGTTTTTCTATGCCGAGGGACTTGTTTGCATTTTGCAGTTGAAACATGCCCTCATTTAGCTACTTAACATTTATCAAAGGGCAATAAAAGAACAAGTGTAACACCTTTTATTTGACAATTCCTAATTATGCAAAACTTTCATTTCTGTGTTCTCATTTAGTCACAGAAACAACCCAGTGACTTGCCTGAAGTCACAATGTGGACTTGGGTTAAATCACATCACTATGCCGAGTCTGTTTCCTTCTGTGGAATCAGGCAAATAGTGACCTCACAAGGTTGTTATGAGGATCCGAAAGACTTACAAACAAACAAAATGGCACACAGAACATCAGCAAGGTTCATTTAATGAAGCCTCTGTGCCAGGTACTGGGGTGGAGCTACAGAGATGGCCTCACAGACGGTCACAGACCAGAGGGAAGACACCACCCACGTCCTTATACTTGCACCTGGCTGCATTATCCTGCACATAGTAGGAGCTCAATAAATATTTCACTCAGTTTTTCTACTGTCGTAATCAGTATTGAAAAGGTTTTTTGTTTTTTAAAATAAGCTTAAGATTACTTTTTGCCTCCCTTCACAATCAGGTAGATTTCAATGGCACAAGGCCCTTCTTTACAAGGGTCTACGTTTCCAGGAAGGCTGGTAAGAGCGGAAGGAGGAGGGGATGACTCTTTCTAACTTGGTAAGATGACGGACCACAGCTGTGGCCTGGCTTTCTCAGGATGCGCTCCAAGCTGAGCAGAGCAGCCAGCAGAGCCTGAGAGACCAAAGCCTGGACTGGCTTCACGCTGCAGCACTGTTCTGCTTTGTAAGCACACTGTTAGTCCTCAGCAGAGCTCACAGCGGGCAGAGCTGGGTCTCCTTTTTCTCGTGCCTATGGGAATCCCTTTGGAGAACCTCGCAGCAGACGCTGCCCACCGCGCGCCAGCCTACAGCTGTACCTGCTGTAAGTGCCTCTCTCCGTTCTCATTCGCGGGACTGCTCTCTGACCCGTTACTGCTTCCCGACTGCTCCTTCTCATTCAGAAGAGCTGTGGCATATGCTAATGTGTCCTGCGGGAGATTTAAACACAAGGAGAAAAAGTGAGGGGGTGTGCAGCGGCAGCAGCACCACCCAGGGAGACTGCCTTTCACTTGACATTTGGAAGCGCCGGGAGCCTCAACGTCGTGCCTTCATGACAACCTCTGTGGCTGGTGGGCCCAGACTGACCGACCTACACCACTCTTTTTCCAGGCAAATAACTTGCAAACTGCACGCCAACTTGTCTTTCATAGAAGATCAATTGTTTCTCCCAGCCTTCCTCATTTCTACCCTATACCTCTTTTCTCTGAGGCTGCAGTTTCTGAGAGACATCCTAAAAATCCTAAGGAATTTCAAGCCACGCAACACCAAAGAACAGCCCTCACCTGAGCTGAAATCGTTCGCTGAAAGGTTTTTCCAGTTGACGTTTCATTAGAGACGTTGCTCTGTGGTGTCCAATAATGTTCTGACATCTGAGATGGAAGGTCAAAAATGCCATCAGAAATGACAAATAAGCCCATGTGAGTCTACAATTTCTACCATTAGATTTTACAGTATAAAAAGCATCTAAAATAGTGTATAAGTTGACCCAGACTTTCTATCATGTCAGGAGATTCTTTCTTGGAAGATTCCACTTCCAATCTCAAGAGCTCACTAAAATATGGCCTCTTATATAATCAACCTCTTTTTTTACCTATAAAACATGTATTAAGATACAAATTAAATGCATAAAGATAGCTATCAACTGTACTAAAACAATTCTGAAGTCTGAAAATACTCTGAGGTCAGTCTCCAAATTAAGTTTGAGATTTTTCCTGGTAAGATGTGCTGCTATTGACTCCAGTGGTATAGCCAGAAACGTTAAAAACTCCATCACCTTCTTCTGCAGCCACTGTACAGCCCAGCTCCAGTGGTGGGAGTTCTCCTTGAAGTATTCTTTAGCAGCAGGACACCTGGTGGTGGGAGGAGATTTTTATCAGCCAAATGCTTTCTTTGCAAATACACTCAGGTTCCTCCTAACATTGAGAACCTTTGCTTTCCAAGGGTCTATTGACAGATGAATCTATAGGCAAAATGTGGTATACAGATATCTACAAAGTGGAATATTATTCAGCCTTAAAAAAGAAAGGGATGCTACAAACCATGCCATATATGCTACAATATGTTTGCACCTTGAGGATATCACACTAAGTGAAATAAGCCATTCAGAAAAGGACAAATACTGAATAAGTCCAGGTATGTGAGGTACCTACAATAGTCAAATTCATAAAGACAAAAAGTAGAATGATGGTTGCCAGGGGCTGGAGGGAGGAGGAAGGAGGAGTTATTGTTGGGTGGGTACAGAGTTTCAGTTTTGGAAGATGAACAAAGTTCTGGAGATGGATGGTGATGACAGCTGCATGAATAATCTGAATGTACTTGATGCCCTTCAACTTAACGCCACTGAACACCTAAAAATGGTTAAAATGGTGAATTTTATGTTATGTATATTTTAGCACAATTTGGTAAAAAGAAAAAAGAATCTTTGCCTTGAAGTCAGTCAGCCTGTGCTCAAGTCCTAGCTCTGAATGTAGGCATGTCACCTAAACCACCTAGGATATGGGACTAGTAACAGTACCTAACCTCATAAAGTGGCTGCAAAGATTAAATGAGAATACAGCAAAGGTGTTTTTAGCACAGTGCCTAGGTTCGTAAGCGTAAGTAGCTGTAACATGATTTTGTCTCTTGAGAGACTATTCTGAAAGTGGGGACCTAGAAGCTGAAAGAGTTGGTAGTTAACTAAAGATATCCTGAGTGAAGGTTCATGAACTCTTGTTGTTAAGGTCCCTAACTATGCCTCGGACTCTAGACCTTCCTGCATAAAACCTGGCGGCTTTTTCCGGATTCTGTAAGATTTGTTACTTGTAACAGTCCCCCTTCCACATCTCTCTGAGACCACGTGAACAGTATTCTGCACCATCCAAGGAAGCATCCCCTGACTGGGTCAGATTCTCTAGGTACTAAAAAGACGCAGATTTTTTTCTCCAGTCACATTTGACTTGTAACTAAAAATACCATTTTCTCAATGCATTTTGAGCCCATACTTACTTTTGAGCAAGAGTTACAAGAAATTTGACACACTGGTAGCAGCGACTGCTGTCCACATGATTACTGTGGTGCATCAGAGCTGAAGAACAGAAGAGTTGACATTTTAACAATAAAGCACTAAAGAGAAAGTGGATCCAAGTAGTAACGGCTCTCTTGCTCTGAAAACTTATGACAAACTATTCTGAAAAACAGATAAGGAACTTAAAAGCATGGTGGGGCTGACTCAGTAGGATTCCTTAAATTCTAAGAGGTAGAAACATAACTTTAAGTAGAATTCAAGAAACATACACGGTGATGAAAGTTTTGACTTTAAGGAGAACTGAAAGAACTGAAGTTTATACTGGCTGATTATTCCCCTAGAGACCTCCAGTTTTCCATCCACCACACTACTGACAAAGAGTAGCTGTAACACTTCTACTGTGATAAATGGAAATGTATGCTTTAAGTTCAGTTCAACAAACATTTTCTGCTTTGTGCTTCGGGGATTTATAGATAAATACAGCTGACCCTCAAACAACATGGGTTTGAACTGCATGGGTCCGTTTATATGTGGATTTTTTCCAATAAATACATATAGTACTACGTAATCTGTGGTTGGTTGAATCCTCAGTGGTCCTGGAACCTGTCCGCTGTGGACAGCGAGGGACGGCTGTAGTACTTGGTCACCGCTCTTAAGCAGTGAATGGTCTAAGTTTCAGAGAGCCTGGGTGCTGCTCTGAGCAGAGCACACCATTCCAAAGGGGTGGCCTAGCTACAAAACTTTTTAGCTTAAATTTCTTTTCTGAAATAAAAGGAGGTCCTTTTAAAATATAGCAAAATTTAAAACGACTCAAGTTAGCTGGAAATACAGGTGGACGGTAGGAGTTGGGTAAGACTATGTTTAACTAAACCTTTTCTAAGAAATAGCTCATTGAAGCCACTTCAGCCTTCAGCCTTCTCCAAAAACTTTTATGAGTGGACAACAGAAATTTGGGTGCATTCATAGCACAGGTTAAAAAAAAATCACATTTCATGAGCTTGACAACGTCCTGAGTCTGAGGTTTTAGTTTCTAACTCCTGAATGGTGACAGAGTGGAATGAAAGATTTCTTGCCGAAGTGGCAAAACTTAAGCTTGCTGAAAAAAGGCACAGGACCCCTGAACTATACCCAACCCAAGGAAAGGACCTCAAGCTGTGTCTCAGTAGGCAGGAAACCATCCAGGGTGGTAAGCTCCTCTGGCCCTAGTACTGGACCCCTCCGTGATCCATGCCCGGCAGAGCGTGCAGGGCAGACCACAGGGAGGAGATTGGCTAGGACTGGGGGCTCTCTGCACACGCACCACAGACATTTCCCGATAAGGCAGCTATACTTGCCTAGCAATCCATTTTCCGTCTCAAACACAAATTTGACCCGCTCTACTTGTATGGGATCCTCAATGACCTGTGAGGAGCAGGAAACAAAGGCTGGTAAGTGAAAGAAGGAACCTGTGTTCTAGCTACCGGCGCTTTTCTAAAAAAATTAATTCAAGAGATTATAGTTTCTAACTTAACTAAACCTAATACAAACAAATACCATGTCATTGCAATATTTCTCAACAACATACTAAATTGTAAACTAAGGATAAAAACTATTAATATTTGAAGATCCATTCATTTCCTAATACATGTTCTTACCAACTACATCTAGTTCTCTGTGGGTTATATGGACATGGATTTCATGATCCCC